ATCTAAAAAATATTTAGTTTATTGCATTTTTTATCACATTTATTGTTACAAAATACAGAACACGAATAGCATGTCCTATAATTGATGTGATAAGTGATGATACATTTGAATACACGTCTGCTTCAGACATGACTTGGGGTGGATTTAATTGGAAACTCAACTTCCGATGGTATTCACACATTCAGAATACAATTATTTTTGAAAGTTTCAAACGAAAAAAAACTTGCATTAAACATAATCTTTTAAATTTTGATTTATGTAAAAAGGTTTCGCATTCCTAATCGAGAAATGAAAAGAAGAGGTAACGACCGGACAGTTCCCATTAGGTATGTGTTGTGAGATTAAGTAACAAACATACTGTATGTTAAATGTGGTCATTTTAGGTCACCGACAATGGCTGGGGGTTTGTTCTCAATCGATAGGCAATACTTTGAGTTATTGGGGAAATATGACGAAGGGATGGAGATCTGGGGCGGAGAGAACCTGGAGATGAGTTTCCGTATTTGGATGTGCGGCGGGACTCTCGAGATCGTGACGTGTAGTCATGTCGGACACGTGTTTCGTAAGTCAACGCCGTATACCTTTCCCGGCGGGACGAGTAGAATAGTGAACCACAACAACGCGAGACTCGCAGACGTATGGCTCGACGAATGGAAAGACTTTTATCATACTATGAATCCGGAGGCAAAAACAGTTGATATGGGAGACACTGAACCCCGGAAACAATTAAGACGTGATCTTAAGTGCAAAAGTACTTATTTAGGATTGTGATATCATTTTCATTTTCTTAATGTAAATTTGTTTTAAGGTTTTAAATGGTATTTAGAGAACATATATCCCGAAAGTCAAATGCCTATAAACTACTATTCTTTTGGAGAAATAAAGAATTTGAAAACAAATCGATGTTTGGATACAATGAGGCGAAAGAATGGAGAAAAAGTGGGAATGGGTTTATGTCATGGAAAAGGCGGTAATCAACTATTTTTATACACTAAACGCCAACAAATCCTATCAAACG